TGTCTCTCACCCACCATAACCAACTAAATAATGCACTGTTATATTCAGTAATAGGTTTTAAGACTATCCAGGAATGTGGACCCAGCTGGGCACTCACACTGAAATCATAATTTCCTGCAGTTTTTTATTACCATCATTTCCAAAGCCTCCACAGTTCACCTGGTTGCATAAGTTAGAAATTTAGTCATCTTGACTCCTTCTTTTTCATCTCCTCAACATGTAATCATGAAGTAAAATCAAATGCTTATAGTACACTGCTGAAAATTTTATAAGAACAGGTTTCAGATTTTGTCCAATGCCTTCTCCTTTGTAACAATATCCTTAACACATAGTAGGTAATGAATAAATATTTATTCAGTAGAATAATCATTGAATTGCTGTTAAATCTATTGCTTCACTTGAAACCAACAGTTCAGCTCTTCCAAATATGACAACTTCCTTAAGATGTATTAATATTAAGAAAGAGATAAAGGAAGGACGAAGACTAGCTGTAGCATTTACTATGTAGTTAGTATGTAGAAGGTAATTTAATAGAAATATCCCCACATATTGGGTTCTTAAAATGCATTATCTCATAGCAACTTTTTCTCAGATGATAAAATTGAGATATACTCAGATTAAGCAAGTTGTTCAAGGTTACAAAGCCAGTCAGTGTTAGAGCTGTGACTTGAGGTCAGGTATCCCTGAATCCATTGCCTGTTATTTTTGACCACAAAGGAGGAAGAAATGGGTCCTTCCATCCTTATGTATCTATTTATATACAAGATTAGCAGAATCATTTTTTTAAGCAGAAAAGATCTGACTGGGTAGATCTTCTTGTTGGTAGGGGTCATCTTAGTCTTCCTTGTGATTCACCGCCTACCTGAGTCTTAGAGGGAAATCAGTAATGAGTGACAAGAAGTATGTAAGAGGACAGAAGAGAGGAGAGAGATGGCATTAAACACTTCTACCCTTTGCTTCTGGAATTACAACTACCTATTTATATAAGTAGGGTCACACTAACAGATGTATGATGTTAAATTTTATATGTATTTAGACAAATGTTATTCCAATGTGGGAGTGCTCAAATGGGTTAGCAATCCCAGCTCTTACAACCCATGACTGGATATAAAACTTCATTATATAGCCAACTGTGGTGGGTAAGAGACAAAAATGAAGTAGAAAAAACCAAGAGAAAACAATCAAGAAAAACAGATACTTGGACATAGAGAAATGAATATAGATATACAGAAAGGTTGTGAGAAACCAGTGAATTTGTCCCAACTTATGTGGTTATATGGAAATCTATAAGGTAAGACTTTCAATACTGGATTTAATATCCTCTGATCATACCAAACTCACATATTTAAATGAAATTGTTTGCTTTCTCTGCAGCCAATTTTTACTTTTGAATAAAGTAATGTGTTTCTATTCCCCATATGAGTTCTCAAATTTACAAAAATAAAATTAAAAAATAGAGTTGCCTACCAGTATAAGGAAATGGCTCAAATACAGTATGAAATGGTCAGAACCTGATGCTTGCATCTTCAACCTTACTTGATTCTAGAATTGTCATTCTAAATGCTAAATTGAATACTTTTTACATTAAAAAGCATTGTGAAGGCATATATTTTAATCTCATTTGATAAATAAAGAAAATTCAGGAAAAGTGTAGCTGACTGGGATGGAACACAATTCTTCAAACTTTCAGATGTGTTGTGCATTTAAAACAGCCCATGAAAACTTTAACAGTTTTATTAAATGTCATGAATGTAAAACTTATATGCTTTCTGGCTAATGGATTTCATTCAATAAGTGAGTTTCAATACCTAGTATGTAAAGATATTTTATTAGTTCTTTTGAATAATAAAATGTAATATAAGATATAGCTCCTGAACTAAAGAAATGTTTTTATTCTCTTGAAGAGATATGACATGCACATAATAAAAGCTAAAAAAAAAAAACCTATTACAAATATCAGGGTCTTATATTCAATAGATATAATTCTTTGGGGACAAGAATGGGGGATGCTCTGGCTCAAAGAATATCAGATTTTATTGATGTTGTTATGGGGGCTGAATTATAAATGAATGGATATTTGTGAGTCAGAAACAATTATTTTATCCAATGATACTTCATCATCCCTTTTGAATTATAATCTTCCAATTTTAAAAGTAGCC